ACATTCTCTTATTCCGAAAGCTTCCTAGAAAACGTTTCAAAAACCGAAGTATTTTCTGTTGATTTTTGAAACTGTTATTGAACCGCTAACATGGTGTAGCGCAGATACAGTGGAGTGTACGTTGATATTCTGAAGCATTTTCGAACAACTTTGAGTGAGTTATGAGTTTTTTAATTTTCGACGTAAATAGTAAAAAATATATTATTTGGTCTAGTATAGGTTTTCACGAGCCTTTTTAAGCTTTTCCGGAAAACAAACATTGTCACTAGATTCGGCGTGATCGAAAACCCATGTTTTCATACGTATCCGATTTTAGCCGAGTCAAAAAGTATTGTAAATAAAATTAAAAAAATATTGTTCTATGGTACGTAAAAATTTTAGATACAAGTCTGCTGTTTTATAATGGCGCTACAAACTTTTTGTCCTCCATCGTAGAAACTCCCCGGAACTGTAGATAAGAGAGATCTAGAGAAGTGGAAAATACACATACCAAATAGAGAACTACTGATGACTACTCGGTATGCAATGATAAGCCTCGTCACTGCAGACCGTGTGAGTTTTCAGGCTCTTCTCTTTATTAAAAAACACAAAAACAGGAAGAGGGAAAAACCCTCCACGTTTAAAGTTGCAGCTGTATAACTATTATTTATAGTAACAAAACAGAAGAGTGACACATCCAGATACGTACATACCGAGTAGTCACCAGTAATAGATCGAAGACACTTGAAGTGTCTATCGATCCCAAAAATAAAGTGTAATAGCGACTCAGGTCACATTGTTGATGCTGCAAACAGAACAAATTGCATTATAGTGTCATGAATGTGGAGATCCTGACTAGACCAGTCACTAATGTCTATTTATGGCTAATTATCGTTGAGAACTACGAAATAGAATACGTAAAATTTAATTTAAAAATCAAATCTTTCACTAGGCCTTTGACTTTAACTTCGATCAAGCATCATTTATCACAGGGTATCCACGGATGCCACAAGAGATTTTGTTTCTTTTTTTGTGACATCCTGCTCTTTAGTCTTTAGTAAATTCTCACGCTCTACTTTTAATGCTGAATCTGTAAAAGATACTTTTGAAAAGTTAACAAAACGGAAAAAAAATTCGAATTTTTTTGAAACTGAAGCGATTTTCGAAAAAGTCTGTAAAAGGTAGACCAATCTATAGTTTATATCTGAGCAGGGCCGTAGCCAGGGGGTTGGCAAACAGAGCACGTGCCCACACCTTGAGATTTTACTTCAATCTATAATATATACTAAATCTAGAGGTGATAAATGCCATGTGGAGATAACATGCAAGAAAAAGTGCTCGATCTAGCTTTAACATGGAAATTCAGACTAGTAAAGATGAAACTTTTTTGTAGATGCTCACCCCTTACCAAATTTCTGGCTACGGCCCTGTATCTGAGCAAAATATTTTCTGCTAAAAATATGCTTCAACTATTGCTTATAATCAGACAATATTTTTGGGAAGGTCTGGAACTTGCGGGAAATCCGTTCGTGTGTTATATCAGAATTACTACGCACGGCACTTCGTGCCATTTTGGGATCCTTTGTCAAATTGTTTTCAACAATAACCAACAAAGAGTGACACTGATTAATTTTATTCTGTAGAAAAGTATGCCAGTTTAACGGCGAAAGTCGATTGTGAAAATATCCTTTATTTCCGCAGTTGTAATCATTTTAGTGAATTACCAACTAAAACTGAAACTTGCGATAAGCTCTCAAGTTGAGGCTTACTCGACTGGAAAATTTATTCCGCAGGAGATACGTACGCGCGTCACCTTTCAAACGAAAGAATATGAGAAGAAAGAAACAACAGTTTAATTTTCTTTGTCGTTAAAATACTTAACTCTCTACTATACCTACCCATATCGTTCTCCATCTAGCTGGTTGTGAAAGAAATTTATAAAAGGTAACGATTTTATTATTCTGCTTATGATGAGGACCGATTTGACTACGCCTTTCATGGACGTAGTTCATCAAAAATAACAGTAAATAGAAGACATAACATGATCAAAATTGGTCTACCTTTTTTATCCGTGCATTGGAGAGCGCAATCAAAGTGATCTATATAACGCGCCTATTGAAAGCTCTACAAAACGTGTATGGTGAGACTTTTCTCGATTTCACTTTTGCGTCAATATTTCGCTTTTAAGGGAAAAATCAAATAAGAATTTTTCGGGACTAAATTATTCTACCATGAGAAAACGTCTTTGAATCAGCTATTTTATTCAGTTTTATTCGATCTTTCAAATGAAACGTAGCTCAATAAGAATGAACAACAGTGAACGCGAAAATATCGAATATGCTACAGATAGCGCTGTTTTTCGACTTTCCATATCACCTTTTTTTAAAAAATTCATAACTCAGCAACCAAGAGGTTTTATAGAGGCTAAGAACTACTATATAACCTCACTTTTAAACATGCAATCGAATGATGTGATTTCCAAAATAACTTTTTCTAGCTTGTTATAGCATTTCTCGATGCACTGACGAATCTTTTACCTAAGCGTGCTTTTTTATCGTGGTTTTTCAAGGTTTTTTAATTATAGTCATTTTATTTTCACAAAAAGAGTGTAACAAATGAACAATGAAACAAAATGAAGCATTACATGAAGCTATAGTAGCCTAGAACTCAGAGTAAATGTCTTCAATATCATCTAGTTGTTGGGCTGATATAACAGTACCGCGTGTGGTAGTTTTAGGATGTTCGACGAGGCGCGCTATAATCTCGTTAGGAAAAACTGTAGACTGATTTGAACTGATTGCGTTTTGAAGAGGAGACGGATAGAGATGGACCAGCTGGATGAAAGAACTGTAGATCAATAGGCTCACTAAGTATATCGACACCAGTTATTAGTATCACGTATCTAGCATTTCTGCCACAATAGAGTCATTTTTGAGCAGACTGATGACACTAGGAACTCGTTTAGCTGTCTTTTTGTCAGCTTTGGTTAACATTTGATATAGTTTCGAGTCTGTTGAGCACGAGGTATAGCTGGCTTCAGTTCCATCTATCTGCCTTGAACCGAAGTGATGTTACTGTCGTATTCCTTTTATCTCGCATAAGCCTCTAGCAAAAGTTGCCGATGTGCAACTAAAGAAGGATAATCTTTTTTTCCCAGGTTTAGTTGCTAAGCGTGCTTTTGTTATTGTGGTTTTTCACGGCTTTTTTTTTTCTGTAAGGTGCAGAAAGAGAAGGTAGCGCTCGGTTTTTATCAATCTTTATTTAAATCAGATAAAGTTCTCGCTCTCTCTTCACCTCCCAAGCAAAAACGACCCAATGTTTTGGGTTATTTATCTAGATTCAGCTCCACGTATATCCCGTTCGAAAATCCGTGTTACACTTAGATACGTTCCCTAGTAAGGGTGACCATTCTCGGAACTGTTTGAACGGCTAGAGTGTATGGATTTATAAGTGATTTTTCATGCTCTGAACGGTGACAAGAGTCATTTCTGACCGGTTTTCAGATCATGTAATACTGGGCAGAATTGTATGAAACTACCCAGAATACATTCTTTGTCTTATTGATACCGCATTTATGGGAATGTTTAGATGCTTTAGAATAGTTCTTTAATTCAATATAAACTTTATCCATTGTCTTATGTAAGTGAAATTTGAACACAAAGTATGATGGAACGAGTCATGTGAAAATAACATTCGATAAAAAACGGAAGAATATTTTGACTTGTTTCTTTCTGACCGGGATTGATTACTCTTCCTATTCGACCTTCTGGCTCAATAGAAATTTTTCGCTCGAAATTCTACAGTGTCGAAACACGCTGTCGAAAAGTGTTTCTGTCGAACTGAGAAATTACCACGTTCTCCTGTGCCAGATCAGAATATAAAATTATTGAGCCTAACCGTCTAATTGTGTCCGAGATAAAATATATTTTTCAGTGTATCGTTGTAGCGTCGTAAATAGAAAATGTTATAACTCCGCAAAAAAGCGCCGTTGGGAAAAAAGAAAGTTATTACCGTAGTCAGCGCATCACACTCTACTATGTAGAATATATCCCGTTCGAAAACCCGTGTGGATACCTTCCCTCGTTCCTCCCGAACGACGATTTTACCCGTTTTCAAGGGCTCCTGAGTACCTAAATACCAATTTCACTGCTACATCTGAATTTTTCTAACAGTGATGATCGACAAAAGCACAGAAGGTTGCATATGTTCTATCAAAAATTAATTTTTTCCTTATCGTTTTTTATACAGAGCTTGTCCATGAAAAATTTAATCGTTACTGGCTAAAATTACATTTTTTAATTGGAGAAAAATTCATCCAAAGATTAAGAGAAACAGCCCTATTTTAAAATGAACAGAAAGCGCCACCGAAGCTTGTCTGAGTGCTGCAAGAACAAGTTCGGAATACTTATCGTTTAGTTCCAATACTCCGGCATCCGAGGCCTACTTTTGAACTTTGTGAGCTGTCCTCGTGAAAACTACTAGTGAACTTTTCGAGATATTATTATCTTAGATACTACTGGAGTAGCTCTACAAAAGCCACCAAGTTTGAAACCCGGCCAAAAAAATTTTTTCGGTTCTTTCGTGGTATGGGGATATTCGATTACAAAAATCTCCAAAACCCTAGAATTCACAACTTATTGGGGAGGAAAAACCACGTTCGCAATAACTTTTCCAGGCAGAAACTATGGGCTTTTACATACTTTTAGTAGTTGTATAGAACGCATATAGTCAAACCTGCCTGCTTTTCAATCGTGTATAAAAGGGACTAACCTGTCCTAAATTACTCTCCTAATGATTCCTATTTCGATATAGACATTAATAGTTCAATTGCTTCTATTTGTTTTAAAGACGAATAAGTTAATTCAGCTGCTGAAACGTTGTAAAAAACTTTTAAAAATCAATGAGTCTATTATACCTACTAACGAAACAAACTTTTTTTTAATAGTATGTAAAATAAATATTTCAGCATTGGCTGGTAACATGTCACACTTCTTCTCTATTTGATCGGACGCTGATTCTTCTCACTGGTTTTCAACGAACTCAATTAACGTGTTAAATTTGGATAAAAGAACTAGCGAACGGTTCGTACTATGCTCAACGTGTTGCATATCGTTTTTGTTCGAGTCGAGAAACTTGCGTACCATGTCTAGATGTGCAACTTGAAAAACAATTGCTCCGAAGAAACTTGTGCGTCCTGCAGAATCACAAGCTAATTGACCATATCGTTCGTAGTATGCATTGAAACTGATGATACTGATTAAGAAATCGTTCAAAAAAATACGTGTTGTTTGATTCGCTATAGTAGTACCAATGGCACGTGCATATCGGCCAGCTTCGATTTCTGGTTGATCACTAATACATATCAGTTCTCTGATTCTTTGTACACCATTCGCATGTTTCTGCCATTCCTGACGCCACACAAGTTCGGGTGTATAATGTTCACAAAAATAGATTCGTCCGGAATCAAATTGTCCTTTACTTAAATGTACAACACGAAATTTAACCAGTTGTTCTTGACCATTGATATGGATTGGACGCGAGCCGAGAATCGGTTTTTCTGTTTGAAAACCCTTGTCTGTCAATGTTTCATAAATATTATCTGCATTTGATGTTCTCAATACAAGCGCATTGATACCGGTAGGACTGTTGAGCAGTATACTTCCCAACTTGTCAGTATCTTGCGGTAAACCAATTAACTCAATATAGTGATTATCAAATATAATCAGATTATTCATAGATCCAAATGAATGATAACCACGAGGTGTTAATGTAAAACCAAGTTCATGAAATTGTGAAACAGCTAAATCGAGATCAAATATCGTATTAATAACCAAATGATCCAATGGTGAACATTCACCTTGATCGTTACTCATAGTTTCAATCTAAATTGGAATAGGCTCATTACATCCTTAGGAAATAAAGTCTGACTTATGAATTTTTGAATATATTTGAAATTATGAAAAGTTCAAGTGTGACCGCAAGTTTGATGTTGCAATTGCACAATCACAACGCCCTAAAATTTCGATGAACTTTTCTTATAGGCAGCTCATAAGCACCAGTTCATTCGCTAATGGTGTTAAGAAAAAATATCTTTTCCATTAAAAATATAGTATTGTACTGTAAAAAAAAGGAGGTCTACAGAGTTAAAAGAAAGAATATATAAGCGAAATAGAAAACTATGCATTTTTATCTGCACCACCCGGAACTTCACTCGTTTACTTCTGTTTGGTGCAATACAGTCACAATTTGTTGTTAACAAAATATTTTGTTTAGTAAATGATGCAAGTAAAACGTTACAGTCATGAATTTTCAGTAGCAATATTAATTTGTTACATTTTGATTCACTCTTCAGAAGAAGAAAAGTTTAAGAACAACAATATTAATCTAATCTGAGGTACTCAAGAAAGGTGAATGTGTGCGTTTACGTTCTTGTTTTTCTGATGATCTGCCATATATTATTTTTTTTCTTTATCTCTCGTTATTATAAGCGTAATTTGTTTTACAGTAACTCTCATGTAAAGTAATTTAGTGTACATAAATACAATGTTCAGCAAATTCTGAAGTTAAAAGTCTGAAACCAAGGTTGAAAAGTTATCAACAGGACTAAAGTATGCTTAAGAATGAGGTGGTCTATTGTTTAAAAAGATATGCTTCCTCTATCCAAATAATAAAACGATACTTATATTCAGCACTGATACTTCTACAGAATACTCACATCCTATATTGTAAGTTTATGTGCTCATATAACTACTCTGTAGATATGTCGTGCGGAAGTTAAACTGTTTGCCGAAGTTATAACTTGCGACACACAGGTTTGTCGAAGTTATTTTTAGGCGAGCTAAATAGTTAGTGATTAAATCACTGACAGTGCTTTAATCAAAATATATAGTTAAGGTTTAATTTCCAGCCGAACAGCATACGCATATCTATTTAACAATAAACAAAAATGTACAAATTTTTCAGAATAAGTGAGAAGTACATTTTTTGGTACTTTTCGAATCTTTTGCTTAGTTCATTACTGTGTCATAATCAGAAATAAAAGTTAAACTGACAGTTAACGTAGAATATATCGTTCAGAGAAGGACACGTTAGAGGTTTCTCAAGTCAGAAGTCTAATCTGGTTAAATAAAGACTTTACTTGACTTCACTTACACATCTATGACACACTTAATTGTAAACCTGTACTAATCATGTACCGATTAAGCCAATAGAGCTAATAATAAAAAGCAAACGTCTATAGCTTACTCCGTATAATTTTAGCTTAGCGAGAATTTAGTTCGCCTAAAATAACTTCCATAAACTTCAGCACGACATATATACACATAAATATACAGAAAAAGCATGAAAAGAGAACAGACGGAGAGGGAACAGACTGAAAGAGTCCGTACTGAGTGGAGAAAGGAGTGCGAATTATTAAGGGTATCCCCTCCTCTTTTTTTGCAAAAACTTTCTATTTTGATCTGAATATAGTCTAATGTCGAGGAAAGTCTGGACTATAAAGTGAGATCACTCCCAGCTCTCCAACGAGGTGAAAAAAGAGGGGAGCGGGAAGGTAGCCTTAAATTTCTACGCTGTTTAGAGAACGGTCTATTTAGAACGCATATTTAAACAACGATGCGTAAACAGTAAAAGAACTATATGCTGAACAAAATGACGCGCAGGCAATGGCTACCATTGCAGATTTGCGATACGAAAGCTAAACTTAATGAATTAATATCAGAAAATAAAGTACTTTTTTTCATATATATGTTACAGTGGAAACTGAAATTCAGTAGAATTTAGTGAAAATCAAATTAGTGGAATCAATTTCATTAGTGGAAATCAAAATTTGAATCTCCACTAGTGAGGATTAAAATTTAAATGCCTACATATATGGTAAAACATGGATTTTCATTCCTTATAACTTTGAAAAGAAACTTTATTTTCCAAATTATTAGAACAAGATTAAAACATCCGGTGGGTATTTCCAGATGTGGAAGTGAGCGAAAAAGCAGGGATTTGTCTCAGTTCGCCAATTCAACTTTCGCCAGTAGACATTCGCAGACGGCGAATGTCCAAAAACATTGGCGAATGTCTATAAGACATTCGACAATCGGCCAATCAGCGAATGTCGCAGGAACATTCGCCAACTATAGCGAATGTCTGTTGGCGAAAGTTGAATTGGCGAAACGCGACTTTACCAAAAGCAGAAGAACAGTGGGAAGTTTAGTTCTTTTACAGAAATTGTATTTTATCATAACTAAGTTATGGTAAAAATTCCAGCTGATCGGCACGAGGGGAACGAAGAAACACTGAACCACCTATTCACTACATTATAATTGGTTTATTGATTCAGTAGCAGTAGTAGTGCAGAAACATTCACTGTCAATGACACGTGAAATTCCTGTTAAAAGAATTCTTGCATATGCTGAATTTCTGTACCTCAAGAACGAAGCATTTTTTCCGATAGATTGAGTGGAGATTGAAATTTTGATTTCCACTAATGGAATTTTGAATTCTATTGATTTCAGTTTTCACTGTAACATATATTACCTTTGTTCGTACCCAGTAAAATATAAGTACCTTGTATAACACACACTGCTTTTTCGTCTCGCCTGAAAGCATAAGAAAAACATCGATATCTACAAGGAAAGTGTGTATGTAAGAAAAAAAAGATGGATGGCATGGACAGAAAAGAAACTAATATGTAAGTGAAATATATTCGTCTTTTCTATCAACGACGCCGTCTTTTTCACATACTAGTATGTGGTCAGACAGTTAAGTGTATCCGCTTTAATGTCACCAATGCGCCCAAATATCACAAAAGTGATCCTCAAATTCACCGGATGAAAGTTTTAAGTTTAACCCTTTACGTCACCCTTGGTCACTGGAGTGACCGTTTGTAGATCGATGGCAAAAAATTAAGAAAGCATGGAATTTAAAAACTTTGGAGTGATGTCTTGTGGCGAACTCCATAAACTATCAATTGGTAAAACAAGTATTTTGTTTCGTTGGCTTATCTCCGAAAAAGATGAGAAATGACTTGGAAAAAGTCCTATTTTGGGCTTTTCGTAAATTTAATATAATTCGACCAAAAAATTTCGTAGAGAGCTCGGGGACATCTCATTTTGTAGAGAATTGTTTGCTCTATCATTCTACGTAGTTTTAATAAAATTCTATTCCCAGGTGCCGGAAAACTAGGGTTTTGGTTTTCTAGAAAACTCTATTATCGGGAATCTAGTGATGATTTTTAGTTTCTCAAATCCTTATTGGAAACAATTTTTTCTAGTCAAGTCACTATCTGAATTTTTTTTAGTGTTTATGGCTGCGGAAAAAAATCGAAAATACATCCAGCTGATTAGTTTTCGTAACCATAGTAGTTTGACAGCACCTAGAATCTGCGAATAAAGTTTTGTTCAAACTACGTAGAATGATAGAGTAATCGATTCTCTACAAAACGAGATATCCCCGAGCTCTCTACGATATTTTTTGGTCGAACTATATTAAATTTACGAAAAGCCCAAAATAGAACTTTTCAAGTCATTCCCCCAATGGTTGCTCGAGTGACCAAAATACTCTGCACAAACGAGAGTGCGAACGACCGATCTGTCTATACTATTGCCATATTGGAGATACCAATACTCTATTCCAGTAGTTGTTTCATCAGTGGTTCTTCTGGAACCGCTGTCGAGGATAAGGGTTAAACAGATCACAAATAATATTTCATTGTCTCATATTTCTTCCTTCTGGCTAAGCACCGTTACTGAGATATTCGCTGAGGATACCACTAAAGTGCAGCGTTGAAGACCTGTCTAGTTGTGCCCCCAGCGAATATCTCAGTAACGGTGCTTGGCCAGAAGGAAGAAATATGAGGCAATGAAATATTATTTGTGGTCTGTTTAAACTTAAAACTTTAATCTGGTGAATTTAAGGGTCACTTTTCTGATATTTGGGTGCGTTGGTGACATTAAAGCGAATACACTTAGCTGCCTGACTACGTACCATACACACCTTATAGGTATCGACGTTTTTCTTATCATTTCAGATGAGACGAAAAAGCAATGTCGGTTATACAAGTCACTTATTTCTGAAGTAGTATGAAGTGGTGAATGATTTACTTTGATTGCATCATGCTCCCGAAGAGAAAGCCGGGTAAAACATGGTGAGACCCGTATGTCAATTACCTTAAGAGTGTTCATGTTTTAAATAAAGCCTTTTCAGATTTGGAACGAAACCCTTTTGGTTTTTTATAATATGTTTTAAGAGTGTACACCGTCATAAAGTCTTTCAAATTAAGTACGAATATATGAAAGAACAACGCATGCCTGTCGATACATTCAGCTTTAGATTTACAATAGATGATTTGATTAAAACAAAGACATCTAGATGTATGCAGCGAGACATTGACCTACATATGGAGTCAAAATAGATTTGGCTGGAGTTTTTATGCAGACGAGTTGAAGAAAAATCTGTTTTGTAAGTTACTTATAAGCATAAGGACATGACTAATTCGAAAATATCTCTTCTCAGATTTTTTCCGTTACCGAGATAACAAGCATTATTTCCTAAGAACTGACTCTTAGTTATTGTTCCGAAGACAAGATTTTTTGATGAAATGGATTACCTAGGCAGCTGTGCCTTCGTACTTAAATTCTCTGACAGTCGTAATTTTATAAAAACGTCTTCTGTGAGTGGAGAGAGCGCGCAAATTTTCCAAATTTTGGACTTTTTCTACTTTTAACCATGCTAGACTTGTGATTTTTTCATGATTTCTACCAATGAAAACTAAGCTCGCACCCGGTAACATGTCTCTATACTGTACTCGAGCTACTTATAGTTATTTTATCCATAAAGGTATGATTATAAGTAGCCGGTAGAAAAGGCAGTTATTTTA